GTGAAACACTCGTGAAACCAGCCGCGTTAAAGATGGCAAATCTGATACTCGGAACAGCGGCCGAAGGTAAATTATCACAAATTCCTCTTTCAAATGACACCGTCAGTGACAGAATAGAAGACATGAGTAAAGACATCTTGGCTCAAGTAGTCGCCGATCTGATTTCAAGCCCGGCAAAATTCAGCCTTCAGCTCGATGAGAGCACAGACGTTGCTAATCTAAGCCAGCCTACTGTTTTTGTGCGCTATGTGAAAGATGACATGATAAAAGAAGATTTTTTATTTTGTAAGCCTCTAACAAAAACAACTAAGGCAGCCGATGTGAAGAAGCTTGTGGATGACTTCTTCGGAGACAACAATCTTTCATGGGACATGGTTTCTGCAGTTTGTACAGACGGAGCTCCCGTCATGCTGGGAAGAAACTCTGGTTTTGGTGCGCTAGTAAAAGCCGATGCACCACACATCATTGTGACTCATTGTATTTTGCACAGGCATGCATTGGCAACAAAAACCTTGCCTCCAAAAATGGCAGAAGTATTAAAAACTGTGGTGGAATGTGTGAACTATGTGCGAAATAGTGCTCTGAGGCACCGCATCTTCAGTGAGCTGTGTAAAGAAATGGGCTCTGAATTCGAGGTACTTCTGTACCATTCTAATGTTCGGTGGTTATCCCGGGGACAGGTGCTGAATCGTGTTTTTGCCATGCGTGTGGAATTAGCCCTGTTTTTGCAAGAGCACCAACACTGTCATGCAGATTGCTTCAAAAATCCTGAGTTCATTCTCATTTTAGCGTACATGGCTGATATATTCGCAGCTCTCAATCATCTCAATCAGCAGATGCAGGGTGGTGGAGTCAATATCATAGAAGCGGAAGAACACCTGAAGGCTTTTCAAAAAAAGCTAACGTTATGGAAACGACGAACAGAGAACAACAACTTTGCAAACTTCCCCCTTCTGGACAACTGTGTAAGTAAGGTCGAAGATGTGTCTGGAATCGGAGATATTTCTGTATCCACGGAACTGAAGCAAACAATTGCAACGCACTTAGATGAGCTTGCAAAGTCTCTCGACAGATATTTCCCTACAAGAGAGTCATATCCAGCATGGGTGAGACAGCCGTTCACGTTTGCTGTTGAGACAGCAGATGTCAATGATGAATACCTTGACGAAATCATTGAAATTCAGCAGAGCCAGGTTCAACAGCAACTCTTCAGAACAACAACACTCTCAACGTTTTGGTGTCGACAAATGGACAAGTATCCAATTATTGCTAAGAAAGCCGTGGATTTTTTTATACCATTTGTTACAACATATCTTTGCGAGCAATCCTTTTCGACGATGCTGGACATAAAAACGAAGAAAAGGAACAGACTTTTCTGTGAAAATGACATGAGACTGGCACTTGCCAAGGTGAAGCCACGCATATCTGAACTGGTCTCTCAAAGACAACAGCAGAAGTCACACTGATTTGCAGGTATGTAATTTGTTGTAAGTTCATGCATTAAGTTCATGGTTTTGTTCTTTGAACAAGGTGATGTTCATGTACGGCTCATTTTGTGCACCAGTAAAAAAACATATCTATGTCTTGAATTTGAAAAAAAAAAAATTTTCACTAAAGAGGGGTTCGGTGAATGCGCATATGAAACTGGTGGGGTTCGGTACCTCCAACAAGGTTAAGAACCACTGCTTTAGACCATGTGTATTCCAACCTGGCTGGAGCCTACAAAGCAACACCCCTCCCCCACATTGGACAATCGGACCATCTCTCCCTGTTCCTCACACCTAGGTATTCACCACTCATCCAACGTGTGAAACCTACTGTGAGGACAATTAAAGTGTGGCCAGAGGGGACAGACGCAGTGCTCCAGGACAGATTTAAAAACACAGACTGGAATATGTTCACCCACACAGACCTGGACCAGTACGCCTCATCTGTACTGGATTACATCTCCAAAACCACAGACAGTGTCACCACCCAGAAACGGATCACCATGTACCCCAACCAGAAGCCTTGGATGAACCGGGATGTTCGTCTCCTCCTGAAGGCCCGCAACACTGCCTTTAGGTCAGGAGATGCACACGCCTACAGTACAGCCAGGGCTAATCTAAAGAAGGGCATCAAAAAAGCCAAACACATTACAAAAAGAAGGTAGAAGAACACTTCTCCAACTCCAACCCCCGACGCATGTGGCAAGGACTCCAGACAATTACAGACTACAGGACCACCAAACCCTCCCCCGCATCCTCTGATGTCTCCTTCCTCAACGAGCTCAACAACTTTTATGCTCGTTTTGAGCGAGGGAATCCAACAACTACAACCAAAGGAGACATGACGCCAGACCACCAACCTCTGACTCTCTCCCCTACCGATGTAGGAGCGGTGCTGAGCAGGATCAATGTCCACAAGGCTGCAGGCCCTGATGGCATCCCCGGGCGTGTTCTCAGAGCGTGTTCTGGGGAGCTTGCAGGAGTGCTCACAGACATATTCAATCTGTCCTTGGCCCACGCTGTGGTACCGGCCTGCTTCAAATCCACCTCCATCGTCCCGATACCCAAAAACTCCAACCCATCTTGCCTCAATGATTACCGCCCAGTAGCACTCACCCCCATCATCACTAAGTGCTTAGAGCAGCTGGTCCTAGCACACTTCAAATCCTGTCTCCCCCCCACCCTGGACCCCCACCAATTCGCATACCGCCGGAACAGGAGCACAGAGGATGCAGTCTCCATCGCACTGCACTCTGTCCTCTCACACCTGGACAACAACAACACCTACGCCAGAATGCTGTTTATAGACTTCAGTTCAGCATTCAATACAAGCCACCCCTCACAACTCATCAGGAAACTGACAGACCTGGGCATCAGCTCCCTCATCTGCAAATGGTTACTGGACTTCCTGACCAACCGCCCCCAACATGTCCGGCTGGATAACCGCTGCTCATCTACAATCACGATGAACAAGGCTGTGTGATGAGCCCTTTCCTCTACTCCCTCTTCACCCACGACTGCAGACCTGCCGATGGTTCCAACACCATCTTTAAGTTTGCAGATGACACCACAGTGATTGGCCTCATCAGTGACAACGATGAGGCCGCCTACAGGGAGGAGGTGGATCGTCTGGCTGAGTGGTGCGACAGAAACAACCTGCTGCTTAACGCCGAGAAGACCAAGGAGCTCATCGTGGACTACAGGAGGAATGCGCACCCACATCCACCCATCCACATTAAGGGGACGGCTGTGGAGCGTGTGAGCAGCTTCAAGTTCCTGGGAGTCCACATCTCCGAGGATCTCATCTGGACGACCAACTGCTCCAAGCTGGTCAAGAAGGCTCACCAGCGCCTCTTCTTCTTGAGGACTCTGAGGAAGAACCACCTGTCCTCAGACATCCTGATGAACTTCTATCGTTGCACCATCGAGAGCATCCTGACCAACTGTATAACAGTCTGGTACGGGAACTGCTCTGCCTCGGACCGGAAGGCGTTGCAGAGGGTCGTGAAAACTGCCCAGCGCATCGCCGGAGCACCACTTCCTGCCATAAAGGACATCTACAGGAAGCGGTGTCTGAAAAGGGCTGGGAAAATCATCAAAGACCCCAGTCACCCATCACATGGACTCTTCACCCTCCTGCCCTCTGGGAGGCGCCACAGGAGCCTCCGGACTAAGACCACCAGGTACCGGAACAGCTTCTTCCCCACAGCTGTCAGACTCCTGAACTCTGCCTCCTGACATCTGACCCACGTTAAACTCATGGACTGAACATACACACACCCACAATGGACAACTGTACCCTCAAACATACAATAATAACATGGAGTGAACCACCACTCACAACCACTAGCACTTTATATAGCCTCTGTAGAAACTATCCACATATCTCACTTATCTTAACTGCACTACTGTATAGCTCTGTGTAAATAATCATTCTGTACATTCAATAATTTTTAATCCTACAACTGTTTACAACTTGCATAGTTCCCATTTCTGTATAGCTGTATATCTCAGATTCCTGTAAAGTTATTTATTTCATATTCTGTATAGTTTTTCATATTTATATCCTGTTCATATCCTGTACATAGCTTGTACTCACTACAGCCTGTACATACTTATAGTTATAGAATATTCACAACATACTTCATACCGTGTACATTATAACATACCATAATAGACACATTTCTGTAATATACTCACATATCTATATTATTGCTAATATATATTGTAATATATCTATATCACTAAAGCACTTCTGGATGGATGCAAACTGCATTTCGTTGCCCTGTACCTGTGCATGTGCAATGACAATAAAGTTGAATTCTATTCTATTCTATTCTATAAATCACGACACGGTGCTCTCAGCTACATAAGCTGCCTTCACAAGTTACAAATATCGGTATCAGAATTGGGATTGGCAGTACCGGCCCTGTATTTACCCATATGGAACAGATGTATATAAATCTTATAAAGTTTGTATCTGTCTTATGTGAAACTTGTATGAAAAGCATACAAGAGTTAAAACAGATATAAGATACCTTGAAAAATTATATAAATGCAACTTGTATGTTTTGGATACTTACTAAAACAATATATGAAAGTAATGAGAAAGTGGCCACTTTCATGACTAAATCATATAAGCCTGATATGATTCACTATATGAATGAGTTTTTACTATTTCTTTTCCATATGGGTACTTGGTATCAGATCAATATTAAAATCTGCAGTATTGCACAGGAGTTTGCAGTACTTAAGCATCTAGCTAGCCCTACAGAAGAGGAGAGAACATAAAGGGAGTGAAGTTTTTTAAGTGTCGGGTAATTTGAAATGCAGCGTTTCTATCAGCTCAACAAACATCAGCAAACACAAACTGTGTGTGTGCAGTTTGTCTCACACTGTGCTGCAGCTGAAGGTCCAGTTGCTGTATTTGACAGGGAGAGAAAAGACAGAGAGCTACGTTCACTCAGAGATGGAGACAGATAAGAAAGAAGGACAGGAGAGGACGAAGAGAGCTTAGAGTTAAAGGAAGGATGCTCAGTGGAATTTGATAAACTGGAAATTTAAAGATGCCATGTTCCTGCAAAACAAACAAAGCTATGCTAACTTTGTGTTATTCAAATGTTCCATGAAAATCCTGTTTAGTATTTCAATGCAGGATAAACATGTGGTGGATTCAGAGTACAGTCACACACAGTGCCCGTGGTGCTCATGGTCCCAGGCAGGTAACAACAGGTGTAGCAGAGATGAGTTTACATGTAAGTTGATGATGCTGAGGTTCATCCCCACTTGCTGAATCCACTGTGACCCCTGACTGTGCTCATGTTACTGTGTAGGTCTGGAGGTGAAGTCACCCTCCACCATCAAGGCAACACAATCGGTTTTACATTCTCTGTCACTGCAGGTGTTCTACACAACAGACTCATGCTGAGTACATTCATTACAATTAGAATGTGCTTTTGTGTTGAAATACTAACAAAGCACAAGGTTCAGTTACTTGTATACAAACATGGTTAGTAGCAGAGTACTTTTTCACTTTTACTTGAGTAAAGGAGTTTCTTCATTACTTCACGTTTTACTGGAGTACTTTTAAACACAGGTATCTGTACTTCTACTTAAGTAAAGAAAGTCTCCTGTAGGTGTGAGGAGCTCCATCAGGGTAGATGAAGGAACAGCACCGTCCACATACTTCTGCACAACTTGAAACTTCTTCTTCTCTGGTTTAATTGTTGTTTTCACGCTGTGACGTCACGTTAGAGCAGCCGCAGCGTTGAAAAAGCTCAGTCCTTCATCCTGAGCTCTCATCATCGTCATGATGTTCAGCCCCTCCTCTCCAGGTTTGTGGCTGAAGGTGACGTGAGTCACTCGGATCACCTTCCAGGTAGTCTCGTCACCTGCTTCTCATTCTGCTGCTTCGTCACGGTGACGTCAGCACGCAGGACGTGAGGGGGCTTTAAAGGAGGAGGGGGGGCCGGGATTCCTGAGGATTACCCGTCATGCCCCGCGGGTAAAGATGGCGACAGCTGAGCAGGGCAGCGGATCAACTTTCTTGGAGCGGCTCTGAGCGGATTTCCTTCCGCGGACGGAGCGTCTTAGCCGGCCTCAACCCGACCCACTGCCCTGAGCTCCAGCGCGGACCTCGGCGCTGCTGTCCGGCCTCGGATCGGTCCGGAGCCCCCTCCCTTGGCTCTCCTGCTCCTCCGGAGGAGCGGAGCTCGGACAAAGTTTCCTCTCCTCCCCGGGACCGAGCGGCGCGGACGGGGCCTCAGGTAAGTTCGCGCCGGGCGGGGTGGGGGTGTCCCTGGTGCGGGTCTTCATGACGAGCCGCGCGGCTCGCGGAGCGCGGAACTGGGCCATGGTGGGCCAGTTCGCGTCGGTTTGACGGCCTGCCCGCGGGGGGGGGGGGGTGTCGTGTTTGTGCCTGTCAGACAGAGCCGAGGGCGTACAGCCGCGGCCGCAGCAGCCAATCACAGGACGAGCAGGACGACCCTAGAACGGGGGGCCCAGGCCCTCAGCGAGGCCCCCGGCAGTTTCAATTGCGACTTTATTGATGCTCAGCAAGAAATGTCAAAATAAAAGCCTGTCAATGTTCGATCAAAAGTTTCATTAGAGCGTTATGACGACATGACAACAATAAAAAGAATGAATCCTGATTTTAAAAGTTCAGCAGAGACTTCTGAGCCGGCGATGGCGGTAAACCCAAAACGTCTCCGCTGTTCAAACACGTCACTGATTTCACTGATCTGAGCTCAGTTACTAGACAAAGCAAACCGGCTTCAGTGAGTTAGCATGTAACAGCCAGAGGTGGGAGTTACCGCACGACACGACGTTATCGCGATACTTCGCTCACCACTCGACGTTATTGTGTCGAATTGAATCAGGTTATCAAAATTCATCTTTGTTTATTTGTTTGATCCACAACGATCGTGTTTGTCCCGCATCAGGTTTTTTCTCTAAAAGACTGACGGTGGCGTCCGATGTGATTGAACGGGCTCCAGTTATTTCATCGGTGCTGAGTTCTGAAGAAATGAATGGTCTCCAGTTTTTATGGAAGTTTAATTTGAATGCAGAGACAGAATATCAACAAAATCACGTCACGGTTTTTCGTTTGAGCCAATTTAAAATAAGTTTAGTGTTTTTTCACAGTGGTCATGCTATTTAATAAATTATTGATATGTGGTGGTCCTGTGAGAATGGCGAGGGCCAGCAGCTCTGACCATGCCCCAGCTGAGATACATACATGTCCTTCATTCACACTTCCCAGCAGTCCCCACAAACATACAGTAAATACTAATAAACAAAGAGTAAAAACACGAGCGACTCCAACATTAACTCGTGAACAGTTGGCTAACAGACGCGTGTCCGTCACACATGGTGATGGAAACTAGGGCTGGGTATCGTCACTGATTTCTAGAATCGATTCAATTCCGATTCACAAGGTCCCGAATCGATTCGATCCACGATTCGATTTAATTCGATTCGATTCGATTTAAATCTGGGAAATTTTGACAGTCAGAAGTATAATTCAGATCAGGACATTTACATATTTTTGTATCTATAAAAAGGAAGCTGACACTCGCAAGACTTTATCCAAGGTGTGAGCATCACAACAGAGGCCTTTGTGTCAAAGTAGCTGAGGATAAAACACAGAAAAACATGAAGGTTTTCCTGGCCTGGGATTTTATAAAAATATTCTGCAGTACATCAAAAACAAAAGAAAACCATTAATTAATGAACATTACCTCTGACGTTACAGCGGTTTTATTAGACACACGGCTAAGCATTTTGCATTTTGAATAATATTAAAAAGTTTACATTTGTTCAGTATTGAACAGCAGAAATGAGGTTTTCTTTTCGGAAGAATGTAAAAGGGAAAAAAACAGCGGCCGACAGCCTGTAAACAACAGTAGACTTGTGCATAACAAGCAAGCGAATAATGAAGAAAGCGAAACTGTTCGAGAGAGAGAGAGGGTGGGGGGGGGGAGAGAGAGAGAGAGCTGCGCATCGCAATGGAAGCAAAACAGTAAAAGAGTGAATTCATGACGATGTTTATGTGAAGTGTAGTTTGGATCTTCTTTTGCTGCTGGTTCGGTCAATATTGTTTGGAGAGAGATCAAACTAACAGCTTTAGAATCAGCGCATAAAGGGCGTGAACACAAAGCGCCGACCCGGATCAGCGAGCTGTCGGCTTTCAGCCCCGACTGTGAGAAAGGCGACATCTAACTGATTCTGATCCGCTGTGTGTTTAAGTCTATGTGCAGAATCCCTGTACCTGCTCTCATTTACTGTTTGGTGGTTCTTGAAATTTTGTGAGATGTCACCAGAGATTCTGGCATTTCGGACAAAATAAATTTATATTAAAAAATCGATTCAGGATTTTAATGAATCGATTTTACGTTATCCAAGCCAGAATCGATTTTAATCGATGAATCGATTATAAAAACCCACCCCTAATGGAAACGTATGCCCTTTCTCAATTCTCAAGTACGCGAGTCCGCGCTCGCGTTCTCGGCGAGTCAATTGTACAATTGGAACACCAGCGTACTCGATGATGTCACAGGTCCAGAGTTTTTACTGCCGTCGCCTTTTAATTTAACTGTGATTAATATGTTATGAAGCTTAACTTTGATCTCAGCCAAACTGATTTACTCAGGAACAAATAAAACACTGAAATGATGATGATGATGATGATCTAAGAGACTTATACATCATGTTTAACCTCAGTAGTGAAAGACTGCGGGTGCTTTGAAAATGATGTGCTGGGAGTCCGCTGTTCTCGCCGGGTCTAGTGACTCTTGACCTCCCAGTCAGCTATCGAGCTGGTCACAGACATCTCTGAAAACATCGGAGCACTTTTGCGAATATGTGATGTCTTGATAAATCGAGCAGATATTTGAGGTTTACACAGCTACATCCTCACCTGAAAATATTTTGAAAGTTTTTTTTGTGACCCAGAAAGAGTAATGCTTTAAAGGTTTTAGCCGCGCTCCTCCGCCATTGCCGCGTTTGAGTTTTGGACGAAATGCATTCTGGGATATTTAGCTGTACCAAGTCCACACGAGCCACCACCGATGCATGCTCGATAAAACGGGCGGAGCGAGAACACGTCCGGGAATTTTTCTCAGCTTGATGCTTTGAATTTGAACAGTACTTGGTCTCCGACTGACGACGGATCACGAGTCCACGAGAACGCAAGTACGCACCAATACGCATATTGAGACAGGCCCATAATCTAACCAACGTTACATTTATTGCATTAATATGTGAGATGTTTAAATTTTAAATACTGAGGGGACAGTAACCATGGAAACTCTCAGCAGAGGCAAAAACAACACATGCAGTGGAAGAAGAGAAGTTCTGTGTAATAATGAGAAATGACAGGAAACGTATCGATTACATGAAGAGAGGGAGGTGCACAACATCGGAGGGTCAGGAGCTGAACGCCAGCCTGTGTCACACATCAGACGCCTGATGATGCTGAAACTGCAGCACCTTTAGACAGACATCCAGTGTTCAGCTTCGCTGTCTTTCCATTTCAGGTCGCCACAAACACACAGACAGTGCGAATAAGTATATAGAAGAGAGATTCTACTGGCTCCACTACATTTGTCTGACTGACTGTGTCGGGGTAAAATAAATTCATAACCTGTGATCAGCTGCATGTTTCTGATAGAGTCATGTCGTGTCACTGTTTTAAGGTGGAGCTTTAAATGGGCTCGTTTTTCATCCCCAAACAGAAAGTAAACACAAACACTTCCAGCTGTGTTTCTTGGTTACAATCAGGCATTAAAGCTGATTTTTATACACATTTACATATATATGATTGGTGCTCCTTATTTGTATAGTTACTCTTTTATCAGGAGTACCATCACCGTAAACTACTCTGATATACTTTTTATTGTTGCTCAGCACTCGTCAGACAGCCTTCAGCCGGCTTGTCCGTTTCTAACCCGAGGGAATCTGGTTTCTTCTGTGAAGCCATCAGTAGCATCATTCCTAATAGATGTATCAGTTTCTCATGTATTCCATTATCCGAGCGTATGACCGGCATATAAAGTAACGACTGTAACACTGCATCAATTCCCAGCATCCTGTTTTTGAACACGTTTCCAGCAAAGAAGTAATGGACGCCGAAATATATGTGTCAACTTCCTGATCTGCCCCCGACCACAACAATGCAAACACGTGACATCAAATATGATGTGACGCCGTACATCGGCCTGCCTCTTGATATATAAAGCATATAAACACGTGCAGCAACAACTTGGCACAAACACATCACGACCGTGTCCTGACCTTTATTTTCACTCTGGTGCTCAGTAACTCTGCTCTTTGTACTTTTGACTTGAAGGACATCTCCTTCAAGTAATACACAGTAATACACAGTACAGCTGTCTGTGACTTAGGGCTGCCACGATTACGTCAACTATCAAAATCGTCGACGAATGGTTTAATAGTTGACGCGTCGTTTGAAGCTTTGTAAGATCCTGAAAGACGCAGGAATAAGTAGCAGGATTTAAGAGTGTAATAACGGACTGAAACAGAAGATGGCAGCACTGCATGTACAAGGATGCCAGCTGCCGTTAAACCCCGAAGAAGAAGAAGCTGTGTCCGGTATCGTAGCTGTGTCCAAATTCAGGAACCGCATCCTCCTCTGGCCGCATTTGTAGGCCGATTACGTTACAGCGACACGACGAAGACTGTCCACATTCGAAGACTCCGACAAATGCGCCAGATTTGAAGGATGGGTCGGGTGTATACTTGGTGGCCCAACCTATCCCAGAATTCATAGCCCAGCTCAGTTTCCAACAATGGCGGCAGCTAGTTAGTTTTAATATTACTCTTATTATTCTTTCTGGGTCACAAAATAAACGTTTAACATATTTTCAGGCTTGAATGTAGCTGTGTAAACCTCAAATATCGGCTCAGTTTATCAGGACACCACATATTTTCAAAAGCGCTCCGACGTTTTCGGAGACGTCTGTTACCCACTAGCTCGATAGCTAGCCGGGGGCTAGGTCACTAGCGCCGTGAGAACACCGGACTCCCAGCAAATCGTTTTCAAACCCACCGCCGTCTTTCACTACTCAGGTTAAACATGATATATGAGTCACTTAGATAACTTCAAAATGTTATTGTTTGGCTTTTTTTAGTATTTTATTTGTTCCTGAGTAAATCGGTTTGGCTGAGATTAAAGTTATAGTTTTTACACAGCTGAATAAACGTCAAGCAGACAGCTGATTATCAGAAGTGTGAGATGCTCGAGAATTTACTCCGGTGTCCTGTTATATTTTAGATAGCAAGGAGTTTATTAAACTTCACCGAAACAAACTATCATCTTGTCTTTATTTTTAGTTAGCACAGACCTGAAACACTTAAAGCTGTAAGCTAATGATAGTTACATAAGAGCAGATGCTGCTGGTGCAATAAGCTGTACTTTTACGTCCAATGGATGATGATCTGATTAGTCGACTAATCAGAAAAATAATCGGTGACTAGTCACTAGTCTGAGCAGCAGCAGCAGTGAGTCAGTCTCCACAGGCACCCGTGTTAAAATAAACATGTTTAGTCTCTGTGGATAATTTCCTTCTTCATAACACAGGTATGGGGAGGATGTTTCTGTAACTCACCTGTTTTCATTATTATCACCTGTTTGAGGGGCGTGGCCTCTGACTGACAGGTGGATGATGACACAGGTGGATGTAGCTGCTACCTGTCTGCTAGCTTCACCTCTGCACCGTGTTTGTGCTGTTGGTAACTTTTGGAGCGTTTCTAATGACATCACCCGACCAATAACACGGCTGCTGGGAGGTCACTGTACTAACAGACCGTCCATAAAGGCGGAGCTCCTGTTTGGGTGCACACTGAAATTCTGGGATTTTGATTGGTTGCTGCTGCACCATCTTGTCCAAATATGGTCATTCCTAGAAACGAAAAGCAACGTGGAGGCAGAAAAAATGCCGAAATTAAAATGGCTGAAATTCAGCGAGGCTGTGTCCGTCTTAGACGTACAGTCTGTGGTGGCGTGTTGATCGTTGCTATGGTGAAGGAAGGTGTCGACACAGCGCCATCGAGTTGCTGCAGGCTCAGAAAAACATTCTTTGTCGGCTGGAATGAAAACAGGAAGTAGAACAATGATGGTTTCCTGCTCCTACACAGTTACTGCGAGCTGATTGGCTTACAGTTCAGTGTGTGCTCACCTGAGGCTACGGGGTGGTTCTCAGCGAGTTTTAAACGTGCCTCAGACACCTGAAGGCACCGCTGTGGGGACCTCTGGGGGAGTCTGGCTCGCAGTAATCTGATTACAGCATGAGACACAGGAAGTGAAGCTGTCCACCCCCCTTTTGAGCCCCCTGCTGTGAGGTCTCATACACTGAGGTTACGGCTCTGGCGTGTGTTCTTGCAGGTAGTGAGGGACACTCTCCGTCATTTGTGTTGTTGTTGGAGTGACCAGAGGAGGAGGCGGAGCTCACAGTTGACTGAGACACCATCTGTCCTCGCTGTCTCATGAGGAGAATTGGACATGCTCTGCCGCTCGCAGGACACATGAGCCACAGAGCTCACCTGCTCAGGTAGGTGTGTGTGTGTGTGTGTGTGTGTGTGTGTGTGTGTGTGTGTGTGTGTGTGGTGTGTGTGTGTGTGTGTGGTGTGTGTGTGTGTGTGTGTGTGTGTGTGTGTGTGTGTGTGTGTGTGTGTGTGTGTGTGTGTGCGCGGTTTCATGTTGAGGTGAGTCACATTCAAACCAGTCAGCTGGTATCAGCTGTCAGGTGGAAAGGTGACTGCTGCTCGGCTCTGATAGGACGCCTCGGGTATCATCGTTAGCTGTGAGATGGCCGAGCGCTCGGGTTTCAGATGATTTCATTCGGTGTGATAAATCAAACGCACCCTCTGCTTCTTGGTGCCGAGGTCAGGGGCAGGATCCCTGCATAGGAAGTTTCGGTGACCTTTGACCCCTTATAGGGTCTCGGGGTTCCCTCCATTTGTTTGAAGCTAATCTCGCAGCACCGTCACAGGCCGCCATGCACTCGTTGCTGTTAGCTGTGATGCGACCTCTGCCACTGCCATGCCATGCCATGACAGCTGATGCAGCAGACCCAACCTGTGTTAGATCAGAGTCAGTCAGCAGAAGTCTGTGCCTGTTGGCCAATCAGATGTCTAGAAATGGCGTCGGTGCTCCTGTTGGTGAGTCACGTTGACTCTGATTGGAGGCGCATCGGTAATTAAACGAGCAGAACTCGAGTTAACTTGAGTGCAGCTGTGAGCGCGCTTGTCTGCTGGATGCCACAGGAAGTGCAGTCACATGATCACAGAACCTGCGCCAGTCGGCACCAGCTCAGCTTCATGTGAGGTCAAAGGTCACGGAGTTTTACTGCGTTTTTACTGCGTCGACCTTCAGAGTATCAGCAGTATTACTGCTAGTATCAGTAATCCTAGTACTGCTCTTTAGTCGCACTAACCCTCTGAGCAGCTTTGTTATTTACTGGCACAGCAGTCACATGACCTCCGCCCTCACAGATCCATCCTACCCATAATCCTCTCTGAGTGGAGATAAACCTCTGTGGCATGTATATTGACACACACACACTCCCGCAGCAGGTGGTCATCCTGACACCGACCCTTGCCTCCGATTGGACGGTATTGATCACATATGTGTGATGGGTGCAGGAACCTTGTGGTGCATTGTGGGAGATGCGGTTTGCACCATCCAGTCTTTGTGATCTCGCAGACACGGCGCTGCGGCTGCTGGATTCCCAGCATGCCATCTGCTGCAGTTTGACCTTCAGCCGTAGATGAGTGAGCTGTGATGTCAGAGGCAGGTGGTCAGCTGCACTTCCTCCCAATCAGACGGCCGTGACGTGGGCCTGCAGAGCCTGCGAACTGACCCGGGATCAGCTCAGCTCACTCTGTGTTTGGGCGAGTGTGTCTCTCAGGTGTTGAACTCCTCACTGTGATTGGTCAATGAGCAGCTCAACCTGCTAAATCAGTTCATGTTTACGTGAACACGTGTACACAGAGCAGGGCAATATGACCAAAAATATTTATCACCATATACATTTGAAAATTTGTGATAACGATATAACTGACGATATAATCGACACGAGACAAAATACTTTACAACTCCTCAACTTTATTAGTGCAAAAAACCCCATCAATGCATTTCCACTGAAACAAGCAGCTGTTTTTTATCTGCATTAAAGTTATATAAAAACGTAACAGTGCAAATGCAAATTCCTCACTGACAGTTTAACCAAAAGGCATTTCCAGTGGAAACTGGCCGACACATCCTCAGCATAACCATGTATAACATCCACAACACTTAAAAAGAGGTTATACACACACAGTACGGTAACATTATGTTGAAGCACAGTACGTATCACTCCGCGAGGCTCCGCCTACGATAGCCGTAACGCTCCGACAATCCATCAAGCGGTGCGGCTTCGTAGCTCAGCAAAGTCGTACTGAAACATCTGACAGATTTTCGAGCGCCGTGCACATAAAATCGTTTCGAGGTCAGTAAACACAACCAGAGTTCATACATAAGGCACACGGGATTATAAGGGGCTCTGTCGACTGTCAGAAAAATCAAAGGATTGATTTTAAGTGCGCCGTATTTTCCAAACAACACGGTAATAACGACGGCCCGCTAGCATGCGCTACCAAAAATAGTGCTTTGTTGTGTATCTGACGGAGGAAAGCCAAACCAGTTCCACACCACTGAAGCTGCAGCATTTTACAAACCAGTTCAGGTTCATGGTTTCACTCAACGATCCGCTTTCGCTCTTCTCATTCTGCGTCGCCGCCATGCTTTTTTCCGCCATGTGCGTATGTAAACAAAGGCACTGCGCATGCGCGTTTTACCCATTTTCTATCGCCATATTTCATTTTCTTATCGTTGCCCAACATCATACCGGTGTTACTGTGAACGGTGTGAGATGGCCCAGCACTACCTGTCTGACACACCTGTGCAGGTTCAGTCTTGGGGAATAACAAACGTGTTGTGTATATTTACATTTTTGCTCATAAATATGTTTCTGTTTTATTTCATTAAAATTTTATTTTTTATTTGTTTCTCCTCTGCAAACGTTTTATTTTATTTTCAGCCAAGTTTTTCTCACTTTGGTCTTTACTGGTGTGCACGTGTGTGTGCGTGTTCTTCGTCCTGCGCCTTGTTGGCCTCAGTCTGCTTCCTGTGTTGTGCGCTCGGCCCTCCTCTCGTGTCCTCTGTGTGGCGGCGGCGCTGACTCGTGTTTCCGTTCCTCCATCTTGTGTTTTAGGTACTTTCAGGCAGCGTGAGGGTTGCACGCCGGCAGGAGGAGGATCTGTGTGTGCGGACATACAAGGTGAGGATGTGTTTGCGGTCTCTGCTCTTTCCTGGTGAGGGGTTCAGATTCTGCTGCAGCCGTTGCATGACCAAAGCGGTCATGTCGATTGGCCAGGTGACATCTCCATGGTGACGCTGCAGGTAGCACTCACATTCAGCTCTTCGTTCGAGCTAACTGCAGCTTCATGTGGAAAGGGTGAAATCTGACCCGAACCCGCAGCCAGGATCAGCTACAGGAGGATTATTCTGAGCATCACTCGTGCTAAGCTGCTCTGGCCTGGATCAGTCTGACGAGCTCACACCATTGGCTCGCTGGGTTACGGCCGCACTTCCTGTCTAACAGCTGCTCTCTGTTTCAGGCTGGATCGTCCTGTGGATGACCTCCTCTCGGGACTCGCTCATCCTTCAGGTACAGACACCGGCGACCCGATGATGATGTCACACACACGTAGCACATGTACATTCACCTGTAATAGCCAGCAGAAGGAAGGGGAGAGACTAATCGCCCAGATCGTGTAACCGAAAGACTTTGACCTTTGACCTCCACATGCCAGTTGAACGTCCAGTGAGCTCACAGTCAGTCAGAGCAGAGCGCTGTGGCAGCTGTAATCATGTGACATCATCATCAGCTGTTAGCACATTAGCAGTGTTAGCTCCACTCTGTCACATGCTAACATTAGCGTTAGATCAATGCAGCTGCACTTCCTGTTCTGGAAACAAACGCAATCAATGAGAGGCCTGAGGGACGGACACGCATGCACACACACTTTACTGTAGTGGCGAGGGTGTATTTGATGCTGATGACGGGCGACTGAGCATCGATCTGCACACACAGAGAGAGGGTGAGGGGGCGACGGTTGCAACAGTCTAGTTGCGGTCGAGGCGTTGTGGTGGGTGGTTGTCGGGCGTCCGAGTCGTTTTGTGCCTCCTCTAACTCGTCTTCTCCTGGCAGGACTGACAGACCGACACGAAGTTACACAGGAAGGAAGCACGGCCTAGGATGGCGAGTGCGGCGCCGGCCAGGAAGCCGTACCGTAAGGCTCCACCGCAGCACCGCGAGTCACGCCACGCCCTGCCCACTGCTCCGCCGCCACCTGCACCGCAGCCCGACATCAATCAGGTAATCAAACACACTTTAAAGACACCTCCACACCCCCCGCAGCACCTTGTCCGTCAGCGGCTGTCTGGCGATGGGATGAGGCCTGGCGTCCCAACCCTGCCGCCGCCACTCTCAGACAGCGAGCTGGAGGTTTCCAGCCTTTCCAGCCTGGAGCTTTGCACCCCGCCGCCGCTCTTCAGAGGACATATCCACCAACCCAGCTCAGCGAAAACCGCGGTGGCGGGCATGACTGCATCCGGTCACGATGCCATGATTCCTCACCGAAAGCCGCGACCTCAGCGCGGCACGAGTCCTCGCAATGTCAAGACCTCCATTAACACAGGAAACCAGGCTTTCCTGGGACATGGAAGCCCCGCCCCAGCCCCGAAACACGCAGTGAGCTGCAACCCTCGAGGAAGACATCACCACCTCAATTACTGCATGAACGCCGCTGGCCGGACGCGGACCGCCAGCGCTCCTCGGAGCATCCTGAAGCAGCCGACTTCACTGGGTGTGGAGACCTATGACATTATCAGGAAGTCAAAGTCGGTGGAGATGCTAGATGACGGCAGAGGGCGGAGCAGCGCCAGCCGGTGCCCTCCAACCCGTTCTCTGGATCGGGTAGAGCAGCAGGGGCTGACCTGGCGGCGGTCCTCGTCCCCGCCCTCCCCTGTCAGGACTGACTGGAACTGGAGGATGCAGGCGCTGCAGGAGAAGGTCCGCTTCTCTAACTTCTTGGATGAGATCACCTGTCGGGTCCTTAGCCCCGCCCGCCTAACACTGCTCGGCAGGTCGGCTTCTAAAGAGTATATAAGCCCCGCCTCCCAGCGCCGCCACCCCGCCTACAGAAACCAGCAGGTGGAGGGGTCTTCTGCAGACCGGACTCGACGCTGGGACGACTGGGTGGCAGCGCTGCAGCGGCCCGGAGGCACGCAGGAGGAGGGGGCGGTGCGGGAGACCGCGAAGCAGCAGCAAGGGTACAGAGAGTGGGCGGGGACTAAACGGCAGGTGAAAAGAGGAGTTAAGGTGGACAAACCTCCTCTCTCTAATCTGTCACTGCTGTCACACATCAAGGTAGGTCCACTCCACCTTTACCCCGCCCCCAACCATTTCCTGTTGTTCTTTTCCTGCTGCGGGTGAAAGGTCACCAGTCCAGGGTAGCGGACTGGTCTTAGCGGTTCACACTGAGCTCATTAGTTATTGATCATCAAGATGACATCACACAGGGGCCACATACAATACATAGGACACCAAACTCCCAGTGACGCACTCTGACCTCTGACCTCGCTTTGACCTCTGGTTGTGCACCCCTTGATTTTTGTAACTTGTGATTGGCTCTTCAGCGGTTACGCTGCGATGTTGTCTCCGTGCTGACACCATACTGCAGCAGCTTGTTGCGCTTTAATGGCGGGTATACAGGGAGTGCAGAATTATTAGGCAAGTTGTATTTTTGAGGAATAATGTTATTATTGAACAACAACCATGTTCTCAATGAACCCAAAACACTCATTAATATCAAAGCTGAATGTTTTTGGAAGTAGTTTTTAGTTTGTTTTTAGTTTTAGCTATTTTAGGGGGATATCTGTGTGTGCAGGTGACTATTACTGTGCATAATTATTAGGCAACTTAACAAAAAACAAATATATACCCATTTCAATGATTTATTTTTACCAGTGAAACCAATATAACATCTCCACATTCACAAATATACATTTCTGACATTCAAAAACAAAACAAAAACAAATCAGCGACCAATATAGCCACCTTTCTTTGCAAGGACACTCAAAAGCCTGCCATCCATGGATTCTGTCAGTGTTTTGATCTGTTCACCATCAACATTGCGTGCAGCAGCAACCACAGCCTCCCAGACACTGTTCAGAGAGGTGTACTGTTTTCCCTCCTTGTAAATCTCACATTTGATGATGGACCACAGGTTCTCAATGGGGTTCAGATCAGGTGAACAAGGAGGCCATGTCATTAGTTTTTCTTCTTTTAGACCCTTTCTTGCAGCCACGCTGTGGAGTACTTGGACGCGTGTGATGGAGCATTGTCCTGCATGGAAATCATGTTTTTCTTGAAGGATGCAGACTTCTTCCTGTACCACTGCTTGAAGAAGGTGTCTTCCAGAAACTGGCAGTAGGACTGGGAGTTGAGCTCGACTCCATCCTCAACCCGAAAAGGCCCCACAAGCTCATCTTTGATGATACCAGCCCAAACCAGTACTCCACCTCCACCTTGCTGGCGTCTGAGTCGGACTGGAGCTCTCTGCCCTTTACCAATCCAGCCACGGGCCCATCCATCTGGCCCATCTAGACTCACTCTCATTTCATCAGTCCATAAAACCTTAGAAAAATCAGTCTTGAGATATTTCTTGGCCCAGTCTTGATGTTTCAGCTTGTGTGTCTTGTTCAGTGGTGGTCGTCTTTCAGCCTTTCTTACCTTGGCCATGTCTCTGAGTATTGCACACCTTGTGCTTTTGGGCACTCCAGTGATGTTGCAGCTCTGAAATATGGCCAAACTGGTGGCAAGTGGCATCTTGGCAGCTGCACGCTTGACTTTTCTCAGTTCATGGGCAGTTATTTTGTGCCTTGGTTTTTCCACACGCTTCTTGCGACCCTGTTGACTATTTTGAATGAAACGCTTGATTGTTCGATGATCACGCTTCAGAAGCTTTGCAATTTTGAGACTGCTGCATCCCTCTGCAAGATATCTCACTATTTTTGACTTTTCTGAGCCTGTCAAGTCCTTCTTTTGACCCATTTTGCCAAAGGAAAGGACGTTGCCTAATAATTATGCACACCTGATATAGGGTGTTGATGTCATTAGACCACACCCCTTCTCATTACAGAGATGCACATCACCTAATATGCTTAATTGGTAGTAGGCTTTCGAGCCTATACAGCTTGGAGTAAGACAACATGCATGAAGAGGAGGATGTGGACAAAATACTCATTTGCCTAATAATTCTGCACTCCCTGTATACAGCTGCGTGCGTGTGGTGACGGCGTGTCGGTAAGCCGAGCTACGGCTGCAAAGGGTATGGTGGCCGCTTCAGTCCGTCCAATCATGTGACAGTGAGACGGAGAGCAGAGCGCAGGGCGGAGTCCAGAGTGACGCGCATACACACAGTTTAAAGTGCAGTTTGTTGTGTGTCTGATGATGTCGTGTTGTGTTTCAGGAGGCGTTGTCGGACTCGGACAGGATCAGGTGAGTCCGTTTGAACGTAACTTCCTGTCTGTCACGCCTTCTCATTAGCTTAGCCGTTAAAACAGGAAGCTGGGCAGCATTTGTCATCAAGCAGCTTCAAACTAAAGGACGTGTGGGCTGTTTGTCCCGTTAGTGTCGGTTATTAACAGGAAGCAGCTTTTAGTTCAGCCAGGGTCATGTGGTCTCTGAACAGGAAGCTCTGTCTTCATCACTTCCTGTCTCCTCCCAGAATCCTTCAGCAGCAGAATGAGGACCTGCGGCGCCGCCTCTCTCTCACCACCCACAAGATGGAGGCCATGGAGGCGGAGTTTGACAGCAACCGCCACTACATGGAGGCGGAGCTTAGCCGGACTCGAGACGACCTGGACAAGATGAGAGACAAGTTCCGCAGGTGGGTGGAGTCAGTTCATCAGGAATGAGAGTGTCAGTCGCACCGCTCACTCTCTTCCATGAAGTACACTTGCAGTACTTGTACTTTGATGTTTGCAGTACTTGTACTTTGATGAATGGTCCCGTGCAGCTGTACGCTCACGGTTGAGTTTTCTTTAACCAACAAACGCGATCCTCGCAGCGCCGATAAAATCAGCTGACCCTTTCCGTACGCGTGTGCTTTGCTCTGATCGAAGGTTAATCAGCTGACCGGCCTGCGCCCGAGTCTGCACGCGCTCCGTCACGCTGCTGTGTGTACTGTGTTTCTCGCAGATCAGAAAGTACTTGTTCACGTACCTGTCAGCGACGCCCGCCGTCACAGCCACACGTGGAGTCCGGTCGTCTCTTACGCGACCCATCCACGTGGCGTTTTCTCGTCTCTACAGGCGGGGAAACGCTGATCACAGCGCCGAGTCTCTATCTGCTCCGGCTCAACACTCTGGCCTCCAATGAGCCTCGCCTCCAGCGCTCTGCTTCCGTGTCTGACGCGGCAGCGATTGAAGGGTCGAACGCACTGCTGCAGTCTACGGTCGGGCGAGCATTACTCATACTGGCGCTCTCTCTCTCTCCCACCTGCAGACTCCAGAACAGTTACACAGCGTCTCAGAGAGCCAATCAGGATCTGGAGGAGAAACTTCACGCTCTGGTAAACCTCTGCCTCTCACTCACCTGACCTTTGACCTTGAGATACTCGGGAGCACCATAGCAACAGGGTTGATCGAGCTCATCCAATAACTGATCAATACCTGAATAAAAACACTGAGGCAGCGTATTGATCACCTGTGGGAGAGCCACGGTTACAGTTTGGACATGTTTGTTCAAACAAAATGTTCCGTGTTTTTACAAATCCACTGAGTATGTGCAGTGACCTTGGGTTACTGGGCAGTGCAGGGGTCTGTTATGTTACTGAGTGTGTGCATTTATGGTGATGTCATCAGCAGGAACGGCGTGTTCAAAAACTGTCACAGTGACTATTCACGCAGCGCAGACAACGCTAGCTGGCATTGGTGTTGAAATTGAGTCAACTAATCACTAACAGTGCCAAATGAGTGTCAAGCAGCATGACTCCGCCCACTGACTCCAAATGAAAGAAACAATGAGCTGCTGTGGCTCCACGGGCGTTTCAGAGAGGACATTAGAGTGAAGCTGCTGTTCGGTCTTTAAGTGATGACTTATGAACCCTGGGTCTAAACTGCTCTGTTTATTAAGGCTGTTGTGCTTTTAACATGTTTTAATGTTTTGTATCTTGTTCTGTTTAATCTGAACAAGCCACTAAAAACAGTCAGTGATCACTGTCGGCCTCTGTTTTTATTGCCGCTGCTTAGTTTTAAACCCTTATGATGTAACTGCAGCCCAGCCCATGCAGCAGTATATGAATGACTAACCTCGTATTGTGGATGGATTATCTCAGTTGTTCTCCTGGCTGAAGTTTGGTCCGTTTACAGCATCCTGCCATGCGATTGCATTTGTCTCTAACCATCGGGAACCTTCACGTTAACTTTTATAGAGTGGAAAGAAGTTAGCTTCATCCTCCAGCTTCACTGTTTGTTATGCTAACATAGCTGTGTCGCTAGCGATCACGTAGCACAACATTATATAGCAGCTAGCCCAACTTCAGTAACCCTACAAACGTCACTGCTGTTTAGTTTTCTGTCTTCATTTATGTTGGAAGTGATAACAGAGCTTACGTTTGGATTTGTTTCAGAAATCTCTCAGTCAGAACATGCTATGTCCTGTTTAGGTAGAAGCTAGGGAGCTAACTTCCTGCTAACTTCTAACTCCGTTAAATGTCATAAATTCCGTTTTCATGGATGCCTGGATGATAAACTTAATTGTTACACTAAAGCAGCAACGCTGATCATTTTATTAAAGATGAAAAAATTTAGACAGTTTTTAACTCTCTGTGATGCCGCAGTGTTCGTTTGACTTTGGGACCTGAAGCGGAGTTTGGACCCGGAAACAGCTCATGACGTCAGACTTAAAGATTGGATATTGGGTGTCAGTTTATTCGTGCTAGCATGCTAGCATGTGAGCCAACTGTCCCCAGGTTCATGCAGTGCAGCGGACTCACAGCTAGCTGGCTAACTGTAGCTATGTTGCTAACATTATTGCTAACAGGCTATTTTCCAGTTTCGCTGAGCAGCTAACGTTAGCCTGTTTGTGTCTGTGGTCAGTTTTTATTTCACTCCTTAGGATATAATTTACAGGCACAAAGTGATGTAGCGTTTACTCTCCGCAATGGCAATTGTTAGCCAGCTAGCTGTAAGTGGTCTCTGACACGGGCAGCGTCATAAACCGCTGTATTTCTGGTGCTCAGGTGTGCACGCTGCCGAACACGCAATGACTCAGTTGGCTGCAGCTCACTGAGTGGGCACAGGGGGTGCCAGCGACCTCTGAAAGTTTGGGTGGGAGCTCAGCTGGGGTGGGTGGGGTTAGAGGTGGTGAACAGTTGACAAACTTCCTGTTTTTGTCTGACTGTCGTTCTTCATCTGTTTCTTTCTTTCTCCTTTTTCGCACGCTGCTCCCTGGTGGATTGACTCATCTTCATCACCTCCACCTTCATCACCTCCATCCTCATCGCCTCCATCAGGCTGCTGTCAGTCAGACATGGGTTCATGCAGTTGCGTTTCATGTTCTTCTTCCTCCTCCCTCTCTGTCCCCCCTCCTCCTCCTCCTGTTTGAGCACCAAGTCCTCTCGTTCAGCTGTTAAACTGATTTTTCTGGGAGAAACCTGAGCAGCTTTGAGAGGCGTGAGCTCAGCCTCCATCAGCCTCCACCTGTTCCTCCTTTAGTGTTACTGTAAGTTCTCTGTGACCGAGCTGGACTGAAGATCCGGCTGATTTCCGCCTTAAAGACTCGGCTCGCTGCGTTTTGAACTTTTTGGGCTTGGTGTTCAAACTCCGCCCGTCTCCGCCAATGGCGGTTGTGCATCCAGTTTTTTGTTTTTTGTTTTTTTTTAGCTTTTAGGTTTTCTGAGCTCGCCTGACGGATCAGGACGAACTGAAGGTTCGTCTTCAGGAAGAGACGATTAAAAACGTGTCCGATATTACCGAACATTCACGATAGTGAGGAAAATCATTCCCATCAAAAATACTTTTCTCCCGGAATATTTTCTCAAGTTTGTTTTTCCTCTTTTGGAGAAATATCAAATCTTAATTTTAAATCCCGACTTTTCTGTTTGTTGGATAAAAATGTCGTTTGTATTTTTAGAATCAGACTTTGTTAAAATGTTGATTTAAGACTAAATATTTGTGTTTCTTGCAGCTTTTTAAAAAACATATTTTGATATAAAATGTTTCTGGAAATCAGAACTTTTGACATAAAAAAAAAAAAAAAGTAAAAAAAATAGCGATTTTTTTTTTTTTATTTTCCCCCCCCCAAGAGCTGCTGTGAACAGCACACTTGTTGGTCAGTAACAAATGGTGCTCATTTCCACCTGCAGTGGGCGGAGCTTGTCCATTACATTCTCCGTGGTGCTGCACGCGTGCAGAATGCGTTCCTCTAGTTGCGGACGAAGGTCCTGATCTGACGATGAGCAGAAAACTGATGCTCACGTTTGAGACGTGCTTGCAGAGTAAAAGCTGAACGTCGAGCTTGTTTTCCAGCTTCAGCGCTTTGATCGGGATCTTATCGATCTTATTGATCTCCTAGCACACGCCACTGCTTCCCATAATGCATCTGTAAGAGCTGCTGGCTTAATGCAGCATTCAAATGATCTGGGAAAACTAGCTTAACTTCACAGCGCTGGCTGAAGGAGGACTAGTTTGAAAAGCTGACAGGAGAAGCTGAGCTGCACGGAAAACTACAAACTTGTTGCCCACACGGAAAAATGTGCGATTCAGTTTTTTCCCACATGATCTGAATGTAGGTTTCCACTGAAGGCCCACCTGCTGTTGCCTCAGGCTCCTGATTGGCTGCTTTACTGTGACTGATAGCTGGTACGCTAATGCTTTGTCTTTACCCCGCCCACAGCTGCGGAAGGTGGAGAGGGACAAGAACACGATGGACCAGGAGATCGTGCAGCTCACCAACAAACTGCTGGAGGCTAAAAACACAATCGACCATCTGGAGGAGCTCAACGTGAGAACAAACAGTCACTTGTGTAAAAACGTTCAGCTTCCAGGTCAAAGTTCAAAGTGTCAGGTGTTTCACAGTGAGACGACAGGAAGTAAAAACTACTGTGTGATAACTTCCTGATCGTCAAGACTTGCTGTGACCCCATTGATGGTCTCTGTAAAACCATTGTTCTGCAGGATGGGCTTTTATTTTGTTTAATGGTGTCTGTTTCCTCTGAGCGTGCTCTGACTGATGCTGTCTTCTGTCTGCAGGAGCGCTACAGGCAGGACTGTAATTTGGCCGTTCAGCTGCTCAAGTGCAACAAGTCGCACTTCAGGAACCACAAATTTGCTGATGTGAGTAACTTTTATTATTACGAGTGGGAAATGCTCTGAATCTGCAGTCTCTCAAACGTCCAGCAGGGGGCGACTCTGAGAAAATGAACCTCCTGCTCAGCTGACCTCTGACCCTAGTGAACTGTTTCCTGATTGTTTTGAGGTCTGAGTGAAACAAACGTGAAGTTAATTTGGGAGGATTTTAGTCCCTGTGGCGTCACAGCACTGCAGGAAGCAGCTGAGGGCGGGCCTACCTGTAGTTATCAGGGCAGTGTAGCTCAGCAGTGTCTCTGGGTTCAAAGGTCACATCTGCCTCTCACTCTGCTCCAACTGTGGTAGTTTCTTGCTCCAGCTGACAGGCAGAGTGTCAGTACTGAACGTCAGAGCTGACGTCACTGGAAGGTCCTCGCCGCTGCAGATGGCGAGGAGTTTTCCACTGGTCAGCAGGAAGCGGGCGAATGAATCTCCAGTATTACGCTTTAATGGAGGAAACTGGCACACGCGCTAATGCCATTAAAGCGTGAGAGTGGGATCGATCTGCTGCCTGCATCAGACCCATTAGTTTAGAGACACACACGGATATTTCCAGGAGTGTGTGTGTGTGTGTTTGTGTGTTTGTGAGGACTACTGACTTTGAAATGGGTCACCATGACAACCACTGCACATGACTTCAGCTCTGCGCTGGATTTCTGGAACAGGAAGTGACATATTTGGGTGAGAGGCGTGGTTATCTGGCCGTAGGTATCAAAGAGCTCCAGTTCAGGTGAAGCCTAGCAGACCATTAGCAGCAAGAGGCCACGCCCCTAATAATGGAAACCTTAAACCTCAATACAGTTTAGACAAGTGAGTTAAAAGCATCCTCCCCATGGACAGGTGTTACATTTGTCTCTGACTTTTCTTTGATATATATATAAAACTGTGTCATCTGCATCTCGTGATAGAGGTGTTACCGTAGAGACCAAACAGTTTGTGTGTTCGGCCGTAAACACGTTCATTTCTGCTGTGATGTTGTAACTCGGGGGACTGACTCACTGCTGCCTCTGCTGATTGTTAGAGGTACTGCAGGTTCTGTAACTTCTTGTTTTAGACCTACAGTTTATTGGCTGATGAAGACTTTAGTTTGTGACCCTGTCTGTGGAGCTGAGTACCGAAAGAACGGGAATTAAACGTGTGTGTGTGTGTGTGTGTGTGTGTGTGTGTGTGTGTGTGTGTGTGTGTGTGTGTGTGTGTGTGTGTAGCTGCCCTCAGAGCTTCAGGACATGCTGAACAAACACATGAAGAGCAGTCTCCCAGAGCGAGGCCCCGCCCCCAGCTCTCAGGACACAGACACGCTCAGTTTGACGCCCGCCGACGTCGTGCCGACCTCGGTCATCGCCCGTGTCCTAGAGAAACCCGAGCCGCTGGTCCTGAACTCTGCCCAGTCCAGCAGCTGCGGCCGGCCCGTCGCCGAAGACGTCTTCGTGCACGTGGACATGACGGGCCCCGGGGGGTCAGAGGGGCGAGGCCGGGAGAACGGTGCCGGTCAGGAGGCGTCGCAGCAGAACGGCTCGTGTCGCAGTCAAAGCAGCTTGGATGAAGAGGCAGGTGGAGCTCCATCTTTCGAGAAGCTGAACCCGTACCCGGCGCCACCTCCACCCCACCCCCTCTACCCCGGGCGCAAGGTCATCGAGTTCTCGTCGGACGACAAAGTGAAGATCCCGAAAAACTCGCCGCTGCCCAACTGCACATACGCCACGAGGCAGGCCATCTCGCTGAGCCTCGTGCAGAATGACGACGAGCGGTTGGCACCTGGCAGCCCCGCCCCCTCCTCCTCCTCTGGAGCCCAACAGCGCACGCCACCATCACAGAGAGACGCCCCCAGCGAGCCGCTGTCCAGCCAGTCCAGCCCATTCAGCAGCCCGCCTCAGGTAACTGAAGCCGCACCCACCATCACACTAGTTAAATCTCAGATGCGAGCTTACGATGATGATGATGATGATGATGTTGTTGTTGTTTTTAACCCCTCCCACTCAGGCACCCAGTGTCCTCGCGAGCTCTGGCAGCTCTGAGGAAGACCTGATCGCCAACTGGCAGCGGATGTTCGTGGAGAAGATGGCGCCGTCCAGCGACGGCACGCTGCTGCACCGCACATCCTTCAGTAGCCAGACGGCTCAGGAGCTGCAGAGGAGGAGGCAGGTGGCGGTGGGAGTGGGAGTGGCCTCCTCCTCAGACCGGCACAGGACGGCGTACTCTGATGGTGAGGAGGGCTCGTCGGCACGCAGCTGGACACCGAGCCGCGGCTCCAGCCTTGACACAGACACCGACACCGAGCAGCGGGTGGGGAGGCGGGGCTGTTACGGCGGCAGGGACTGTTCGGAGGAGGAGGGAGAGCAGCTGCTGATGAACCTGGATGATGACGGCGGGAGCGGGGACACTGCAGTCACCGTGGTGACCAGCCCCGGTGACGCCCGCAGGGAGCTGGAGGAGGAGGGCGAGAGCTCAGGGGAGGATAGAGACATCCTGCCCCACGAACTGCCCGTCATCTCAACCCGTCTAATGGACTTGGACCCCGCCCTTGGTGCCATCGCGCTGCATCGGCCCCAGAAGAGCCCGAAGAGGATGGGAGTGCACCACCTGCACCGGAAAGACAGCCTGACCCGCGCCCAGGAGCAAGGCACACTGCTGGACTGATGCTTGCTCGCCCCGCACTGTGCTCCACTGACCTGATGCTGAGGTCAGAGGTCACACCCATCCAGGATATAGCCATACTCTACCGTATGCCGAGCTCGCCGCCCGACCCGGGTGTGTGCGTGAGACACGAATCACTGTCCACATACTTTTGGTCTGATGACGTGTCGAGAGTGGTGATGATGTAGCAGAGAGGAGACATGGCCAGAAGTATGTGGACACGTCAATCGTAACATTTGGCAAACCGTGTGCACGTGTGCGGGCGTCGTTCACTAACAATGCGTCCACACAAATCTGTGATTTCTGTTTTTGTACCCGAATCCGTACGCGCAGTCAGAGAACGCTGCAGCGTCCACGTCACATATTCAGCACTCCCATTAGCCTGACCGTCACTTGGTTTGTTTACGTTTGAACCGTGGTCGCTCCCGTGGAAACACTGTGGAAAGCTCCGCCTCTTCTGGCCTCCTTGGACACTATTATTCAAGTTTCCTTTTCTTCGCCTTAGACACGTAAGCGTGTGTCCTTGGATAGAGAAATGGGGGCGGGGCCATATGTGGATAGTATGCTAATTATATTGCAATTGCGCAGGGCTGGTTAACGGATTAACGGCCGGTACGCATGTGAATCCAGCTGTAATATGGCGCCGTTTAAGAACGTTTCCACGCAAATATTGGTGAATGAGGCCAATAGAGTTCTGATCAGCTGATTATCAATCAATCATCAGATAATGTCCATCCGTATGTGGACAGCCTAAACCGAAGTTTGACGTTTCTGTGAATTTGGAAAAGAAATACTTTTGACTGGTTGGTTCTCCACGAAGGTGTCCGCATATTTATGTCCATATGGCGTCTTTGATTCTGAGTCTGCATATAGAGTTTATACAGTATGAGCAAAAGTATGTGGACAATTAAAGGTTCAGTTAAATTCTGAACAATCAACATTCAAAACCACGTCGTGTGTGTGTGTGTGTCAGAGCAGAAAAACAGATTTTAAAAGCAAAACTTTTATTTTGAAGAGACACACACAGACAGTGCCTCGCTCGCCCTCAGTCCCTCACTCTCTCACTCCATGGTTGTGAGTGTGACACCGGGCACACTAAGTCTTTTTACTAAGACTTATTTTGAAGTCTGTACTAATCATTGATTTCCTGTTGTTTAGTCAGCTGATGGATTTGTTGTGGAGCTGCAGACTGAGGTTTGACCTTTGACCCAGATTCACCTCTGCCCCCTCGAACACCCAGCCTGTGGGTTGGGGGCGGGGCTTCTTCTCAACTCACACCTGGAATGTACCAGTTTTGTTTTTTTGCTGTCATGTTTTTGGTTTTTTTGTTGTGAAATATTGAGTATTGATCTGTTATTAGTTTTATTGTTTGCCGTTTATAGATTTGTGATTTTTGATTTCCCCCCCCCCCTCCCCCACCCCCTGGTCAGTTTGTGCTTTTGTCGTGCGTCTACAGAAGCCTGTCGGTGCCAGAAATGCTCAGTTTCATTTAAATGATGATTGAAAACAAAAACTCTACTGATATTCCTTTAAATAGCAAACTGATTCCTACAAAATAAAAGCCTCTATAGTGGGGGAAATTGGGGTTAAAACAGAAATCAAAGAATCTGTTTGACTTCCTGCAGTGCCCCCGGTGGCCTGGAGGAGTTTATATTTGTGGCACCTGTGAGCCTCCGTACCTGACCTCACTCTGTTCTTCTTCTGATTGAATGTCAGCTCGTTGCCTCCTCACAGCTCTGATTGTCACTCCCACCGAGGCCCGACGTTGGGTCATCGATTGGTCCCGCCTCTCTGACTAACGGAGGTGATCGATCATTGGACGGATTAATGGTGGAATGTTCAGGGGCTTTTTTCAGGTTTCCTGCAGAGAAAACTATTTACAGAAACGGGAGCTGCTCACAGTTTTCAGCCGCTTTCACGGGACGTGATGTCACAGCGGAGAGCGCTGCAGCCGCTGACAAGTTAAAGCTAGGCCGCTCACTGATGTGGTGGGAAGGTCGAGTTGTGGTTGTGGCGTAGCGACAATCGACTGTTTGATGAGTTTCAGCGCTTTCTGAGATGTAAACTGCCCGTGTGCATGCTACGTGACATTTACACACCTGTGCGTATGTCTGAAACTTAACGGACTAAACGCTGTGCGAGCATTATGAACAATGCACACCGACAATTATCTGAAGTGACAGCAGGGAAGTTCACGCCTCCCTCCTCCTCTGGGGAAACGTCGAGGAGTTCATGTTGACGTTTATGGCATTTCTCAACAGCGATGCGCCACCTGGTGGCAGATGGCTGCATAATATTTAGGACACAATCAATTACCGCCATTGGTCAATTTAAATTTTACCAACTGGATTAACTCGTACGTCTGGTAACGACTAGTGACAGTAGCGACCACGCAGTGACCGCATGTGAGGTCAGATGTGCCCGCTGCTGTAACTCACAGTTCAAACAGGAAGTGAGGCATCTTGGTCCAACCGTGGCGTCGTGGGACTGAGGTTTTTTTTGGGTTTTTTTGTTTGTTTGTTTTTTTAATCGTAACTTTGACGATGTGAATCAGCACGCGATGTCTCGCTGAAGGACGCCATCTCTGTTTGACCTCACAACATGCTACATCTGCCCCATTATACACCGTGATGATGTCACAGTGATGTAGTTTTCAGATTGTTAGTTGACAGATGGTGGGAAACAGACCAAAAGAGTACGCACTGATTCAGTTGAAATTAAACAGCAGAAAAAGTAAACGAATCCGCACCAAACGTCACGCCGGAGCATCGAACCCTGAGCGTGTCCAGGTGGACTGTGTGTGTGTTTGGGGGGGGTCGTATTGATAGAGACTTGAGGTGTTTGTGAGGACATTTCAGGCATTTTTCCAGTGGAAACACTGAGGTGAAGGTGGGCGGGGCTTCCTGCTCAGACTGCAGGTGAATAAAACATAGACAAGCGGAGCGAGCAGCTCAAAGCTGCGAGCTGATGAAACATTTAAACCTTTTTTTCCTTTTGCGAGTCCTTCATCCTGCAGACATGTCGTCCTCCTGCTGGAGTCGTCAGCTGCTGTTAAATTATTCACCTTTTTTCCGTCTCGCTAATATTTCTGTGTGTGTGTGTGTGTGTGTGAGACTGTGAGGAATGAGGTCACTGAGACTTTCCAAACAGACCAGGTTTCAGGGTCGGAGTCCTGGTACCGTTTACCTGGTACAAAACCAAAAGGTAGGTGTGTGTGTCAGTGTGAGAGAGAGAGAGAGAGAGAGAGAGAGAGAGAGTATAAATAGATGATACATGAGGACTCGTACATCTTTAATGATGCGACTTGTTGGAGCAATGACATCACTCTGCTTGTTTTACCCTTCACATTAAAACACTTCACAGCGTCAGTGTGTTGTAGCCTTTAGTTAATGCTTTTATTCTGAAAAGTATTAACTAAAGAGGTAGGAAACGGTGATGAACGACTCTGGTGATCTAAGGTCAGACTGAAGTGGTGTTTTTCTTGTCTGCTTCCTGTTTAAAGTGACTCTGTGTCCCAGCATGCATCAGAGAAACATGCAAGTGTTCGCGTCAGTGGGTCCTTGATTTCCAGGCCCCGTGACAGCGGCGAGCAGCTCCTGTTGTCGTGTTCGTCTGATGTTTTTGGAAGCTCCGTTATCAGTGCTTGCTAACGTGTGCTGTTGCGCTGTTATGCGTCTCCTTTTACAGAGTAGATGATTTTTAAAAAATGGCGTTGATGAGTCAGATCCTGTTTGGAAGCCTCTGTATTAGTTGGCTCACCTGTGCAGGTGGAGCTGGGCGGCCTCACTGTTGGCGCTAAAAAGGTAAACACACGTTTCTACTGTATTTTCTTTTTTCGTTCTGTTTCGATGTGTCTGCACCAAGCCGACACCATCATGGCTGCGGGCGGACGGACGGACGGGCGGGGGGCTTATGTGAAGACGACATGGAGTCACCCGAGGACCGACAAACGGTAACTAGTGGGGGAGTGTCTGATTGTAATCCCGCCCCTTACGCTCTCCCCCCAACGGGTGCTGTCTGAGGTCACGACCTCTGACCCCAGGCGCGGTGTTTTCGGGGTCAGCTGGGTGGTTTCCTGTCCTTGCCGCGTCTCGCCTGGCGGACAGAAACGGACTGTTAATCTCTGACGATTTTATTTTCTCAGTTTGTAAACAATGTATATTTTAAAGCTAATAAAATATTTTAAACAAAGCTCCGCCTCCTCACCTGTTATTGTTTTAAGGACCTTTAAGTCAGGTTGGAGTTTATTTCCTTCATGCAGTACAAACCAATCAGATCGTCTCGTGTCTGAGCTTCACTTCCTGGTTCAAACTTTATTAATACAGCAGCTCATGAACAGTGTGACTGACTGAAGCTGGCGCTCTGTGTTCGACCTTTTGTGTTCTCATCGTGGGGTCACATGACCTGTGAGACCTTCGCGTAGTTCCCTGAGGTACTGCGCAAGTAAATGGGCGATGCTTCTCTGTTACCCATGCCCAAGCAGGTTTTTATCTACTAGGGGCGACCGTGGCTCAGGGAGTTGGGAATCGCATCTGTAACTGGAAGGTCGCCGGTTCGGTCCCTGGACTCTCTGTCCTGGTCGTTGTGTCCTTGGGCAAGACACTTTACCCTACCGCCTACTGGTGTTGGCCAGAGGGGCCGATGGCGCGATATGGCAGCCTGGCTTCTGTCAGTCTGCCCCAGGGCAGCTGTGGCTACAACTGTAGCTGCCTCCACCAGTGTGTGAATGTGAGAGTGAATGAATAGTGGTATTGTAAAGCGCTTTGGGTGCCTTGAAATCCAATCCATTACCACTGCGATGGTCGAGGAGGTGGAGCCGGGATGGACCTGGCAACCTCCTAATGGCGCCGCAGTTCTGAATGTGGATGCAGAGATGGACTGCTTTTCAGTGATTGATCAATAAATGCATTGAGCAGCAGATTTTCCCCCACTGTGACGCGTGTGGAGTTTGTAGCTGAATGTTGGGAGGAGGAGCAGCCTTTCCTCATGTATTTAAGGTGGAATTCCAGATGTCAGAGCTTATGTCGATCGAGTGGAATAAAGATTCCAACATCCAGGTATGTTACACCTGGTCTGTAGCGTCTGTGGACGCTCCTGTTACCTGCTTGCAAAAATAACCAGGTTTATCAAGCTGTTCCCGAACGCCTCGTCAGCGACCGTTTCCTCTGAGGCTGGACGGTAGCCCCACACACAGATTTGTATCAGGCTCTGCTGCCATCTGCTGGTAGCCGCAGGAACTGAGTCTTGCTGCGCCTCCCTCTGTGCGATAACTCAGCAAAGGATTGTGGGTAATGCAGTTTGAATCACCTGTAACAAGCTTCCAGTGAACAAGGAATCAGCCGGAGAACGGACTGTCCGGAGTATTTTAATGCAGGGGGACCTTTGAACTTTTACATTAAGTATGAACCAAATCAGAGTCTTTGAATTTAAAACAGTTTCAGGAAAAAATATAGAAGAGAATCACCTGAAACCATCAGAACCATAATGACCATTTCAGCAAGAAATATCCTCAGAGACACGTGAAGCATGTCCCTTCACATTAAAAGCACAAGAACATTCACGATCTCAATTGGAAAAGAAATTGCTTTGATTTTAACAGACATGGACCAATCACAGGGCTTCACTTTAGTTAGGAAGGCGATGCACATCTGGAACAGCTGCTTTCAGTTTTTCAGGCTACTGAAGAACTGTTCCAGAACCTTCTCCACCTCGTCCTCGCTGTAATCTCGCACCACAAAGTTCTCGACGTCAGTGGCTCCTCGGATCATGGCCGACAGGACTGCACAGAAACAGGAAGTCAGCACGAAGCAGCCAACCAGGTTGAAGCGTGTCAATGAGGAAACAGGAAGTGCACTCACTTCGTCCTGACGATGGTCTAAACAGGCAGAAGATTTTTTTCTTCATATCGACGGCTCGACCGAGCTCGTAGCCAACACCCAGAGACGGCTGCGTCACCTCGGCAACAACCACTGACATCAGAGGTCAGAAGTCACATGGGTCACTGGCTCAAATTCCATGATCAACGATCAACAAAACGATTGGTTCTCACCATCAGATTGATGCAGCCAATCCAAGTCTCGGTTGTGAATGGCCTGGTCCCCGGACGCTGCATTGTTCTCTCCTGTCCAATCATAGTGCAGCAGTTCAGTGACATAACGCACACACAAACACACACACACTCTTATTTTGAAGGTCAGAACCAGAAAACCAAACCTGAAATCGGATACAGTTAATGTGACTCCGCCCATTTTTGTGACGCAAATGCTTTTATTTCTGAAATTTTTTTTTATTTTTTTTTTACCTTGGAGGTCAGCAGGTGCTGGTGTGACCTCGCCCTCTCTGATGCTTCACGTTTGATAAAGCTCGTCACTCTGACTTTGGCTGTTACTTCCTGCACAGCTCTCTCTCCCTCTGTGTCCTCAGAGACCAGTTTACCATCAAAGCGCTGTTATTGTCAGGCACCAGTCTGCTGCTGTGTTCAGTGTCGGCCTCTGACATCACAGCCTCATTTCTGCTCTTCAATACTGAACAAATGTTTGCTCAGCTGTGTCTGTAACTTTGCTGTGCTTCACTTCAGCAGCATCAGGTAATGTTCACATGCTGATTCATGGTTTGCTTCAGTTTAATATTTTTGAGGTTATCTGCTATAAAAAGCCAAAGCAGGAAAATGTTCTATGTTTTTATCCTCAGTTACTTTGACACGAAGGCCTGTGCTGTAATGCTCACACCTCTGATGAAGTCTCACAGCTTTGTTTTCATACACAGACATAAAACATGGAGATGTGCTGATAACTGATCAGAATTATGATATTTCTGACTGTCTCAGTTGGAATCGAATAGAATCAGAGAAATCGATTCCCAGCCTCTTCCACCATGTGAACGCGCACCGTTCTGACTGCCGGTGTTCTGGGAATCCATCCTACCCGACAAACCATCCTACCCGTTGTTTCTACGCATGCGCACAACACGAACTTCAGTGGCAAATCGTCCTACCTTTGTTCGTATGAGCATATGAGTTTTCTGTGTGTGACCTCTGACCTCTGTCGCTGAGCTCGGCGCTGCTCACGTGCTCGGTCAATACGGTCCCGTAGCTCTGTAGCGCGTGCACGATCCTCCGGTACACGTGCACGTCGTCCCTCCCGCCGCGGATGCTGCCGCAGAAATAAACCTTCATCCCGTTTCTACTCAGACTCTACTGACGGTTCCCGCGCTGTCGCTATACGTCACCGGAAACAGGCGACTGTGCTCGGAGCTTGCGCCCTGAGCTCAGACTGACAGGTAGCTGAACGTCACGGAGGTGAAAGGCCAACAGCCCTCCTCATCGGGATCGCGTGCCTTCACGGGGTCTGACACCCGAGGGTCACCCCCACCTGTATCTATAACCACACACAGGTGTTTATTTCCACTGCTGTGATTGGCTGCTTAGACTCTGATTGGCTCAGACAGAGTTTAGGGTGAAATAAAATTTAAAAATCAAACTTATTCTTCTGTGGTTTAGTCCTGACAAACTTCCTGTCGTTTCAAAATAAGGCATTTCAAAGCACAACATCAACTGTCAAAGGTCTCTGACACACTAAAAGTGTTTCCACTAACAGGTACTTTACAGCTGGTTTCCGATTCTCCCTCCCTGTATTCCCGCCTGGATGTTTTTCCAGTTTGGAGGCTTCAGATTTTTGCAGTTTGCAAACAAAGTTCCTCCGATTCTGTCGCACTGTCAGAAACAGCTGTTGCTGTCCTGCACAGTAATTCATAAACACAGATATTATTTGATGGATGTGGCTCCTGGCGTTGTTTACAGGTGCTGTCAGCCTGCCAGTAGATCACCTGTCGGGAGTTTTCTGGCACAGCTGTGGGGAACATCTGCTTCCCTGCAGAGCTTTACTCCACAGAGAGGTGACCTCTGAACCCCTGCTGTTGTATTTGGAGTTATTGACTGTCACTATTGTGAAACAGCACTGGAGATCTTCATGTATTTATTAAAGACGATAATTCATTGATACGACCCGAAAGAAGCGCCTCAACACATTTGAATCCACATCTTCAGGTTCGGGTTGATAACCAGATTTGTGGTTTATCTTGGAAAGGTGCTTGTGTTGGATCAGACTGGATCAGTAGCACTCGTGTTCGGGGTTGTTGACGGCAGTGACTCACACTGAACATTTCTCTTCCATAAATATAAATGTGGGAAGCGGAAAACTGTGAAAACAACAAAATGCACTTTTGTTTATGATACAACTTCTTTTTGGAGTGAGAAAAGAATCTGTTACTGTTCATGATGTTTCATATTTTTGTGCTGTTGCTGTAAATATTTGTGTCTGTTCTGAGTTTTAGTTATTCGAGTAAACATCATGAATATCTTCACTTTAACACACATCATGTGACCTCTTTTTGTTTTTTTTATCTGAAGTAGACTCAGGTGAGTTTTCTGCTGACTTCCTGTTCACCTGTGACAACACACAGCTGTGAATGCATCAGAACATTACTCTGAAATACAGGCTTTCATTTTGGAAAAACTGAAGTACAGGAAGTCTGAACTTGATGAAACCTTTATTATCCCATATGTACACGATCAATAAATCAAAAAGTGAAGGTCGGAGAAGAAACAAACCCCCCCCCCCCCCCCCCCACACACACGCGCGCGCAGATCTTTAAATTGAAGCGTTTAAGTTTCACAGACATAACAGAAATCCCCTCCCCTCAGTAGGCGCTCAGCAGCATCCCCGGGTTCCTCGCCGTGGCGTTGAGCATCACCTCGGGCACGTCTCTGGCCACCCGCTGCATGGGCGCCATGTTGTGTCCTTCCAGGGAGTCGAGCAGCCCTGAAACAAACACGGAGGAGAAAACACGAGTCAGCAGACACACCTGTGCAGAAGTAAGCATAAAAACCAGCGAGACAGAGCACGCCGTGCCGACCGAACCGCCCTGGACCGGCAGCAGAAGAACCACAAAAACCTGTCTATGTGCTTCTGGTTCTGACCTTCTATGATGGTGTGGTAGTTGAAGTGCAGGTAGAGCAAAAAGAGCATGTGCAGCAGCCCCAGCGTCCCACAGAGGAGGAGCCGCGGCGTCTGACCCACAGTCCGAGAGAGCAGCGCCGCCACCTGCGCGCGCACACACACACACACAAACAGGTGAGCTCACACAGGGAGCGTGTCCTGGCACAGGAGCTGATGGGAAGCGACAAGCTCACC